GTTGATCGTTTTTCTAATGTTGAACCATCCTTGCATCCCTGATATGAATCCCACTTGATCATGATGTATTATCTTTTTGATGTGTTGCTGCAGTCTGTTGGCTAGTATTTTGTTGATAATTTTTGCATCTATGTTCATGAGGTATATTGGTCTATAGTTTTCTTTCTTAGTGGCGTCCTTCCCTGGTTTTGGTATGAGGGCTATGCTTGCTTCATAAAATATATTAGGAAGTTTTTCATCCTCCTCTATATTTTGGAATAATTTGAGTAGAATTGTTGACAGCTCTTCCGTGAATGTTTGGAAGAATTCACCAGTGAAGCCATCTGGGCCAGGACTTTTTTGGTTTGAAGTCTTTTGATGACCTGATCGATTTCTTCTTTTTTTATTGATCTGTTCATATTTTATACTTCACTTTGTGTAAGTTTAGGTAGGTCATGTTTATCTAAAAATGTATCCATCTCTTGTAAGTTTTCAAATTTGTTGGAGTATAACTCTTCATAGCATTCTGTTACTATCCTTTTGATTTCCTTTGGTTCCATTGTGACATCTCTCATGTGGTTTCTAATGTGTGTTATTTGTGTCTTTTCCCTCTTTTGTTAGGTTTCTTCATGTATGATGTTCTTGATGTCATCCCACAATTCTAATGGTTTTTGGCCTTTAGTGTTTAATGTATCAAATCTGTTCTTCAGATGATATCTAAATTTAGGTGGGATATATTCAAGGTCATATTTTGACTCTCGGGCACTTGTTTTCATTTTCTTCAGCTTCATTTTGAATTTGCATATGAGTAACTGATGGTCTGTTCCATAGTCTGTCACTGGCCTTGTTTTCACTGATGATATGGAGCTTTTCCATCATCTCTTCCCTCAGATGTAGTCAATTTGATTTCTATGTATTCGATCTGGTGAGGTCCATGTGTATAGTCATGTCTTATGCTGTCTTAAGAAGGTATTTGAAATGAACAAATCATTGGTTTTGCAGAATTCTATCATGCGTTTTCTAGCATCATTTCTATCACTAAGGCCATATTTTCCAACTACTGATCCTTCCTCTTTGCTCCCAACCTTTGCATTCCAATCTTCAGTAATGATCAATACATCTTGATTTCATGTTTGATCGATTTCAGTTTGAAGACGTTGGTAGAATTCTTCTATTTCATCCTCACTGGCTTTAGTGGTTATACGTAAATTTGAATAATAGTGGTATTAACTGGTCTTCCCTGTAGGTGCATGGATATTATCCTATCATAGACAGCATTGTACCTTATGACTGACCTGGATATGTTCTTTTTGACAATGAATGCAACACCATTCATCTTCAGTTTGTCATTTCCTGCATAGTAAACCATGTGGTGGTCAGACTGAAAATGACCAATACCAGTCCATTTCAGCTCACTAATGCCTAAGATATTGAAGTTTATGCGTTCCATTTCATTTTTGACAATTTCCAATTTTCCCAGATTTATACTTCATACATTCCATTTCCTGATTATTAATGGATGTTTACAGCTGTTTCTCTTCATTTTGAGTTGTGCCCCATCAACAAATGAAGGTCCCATGGGCTTTACTCCCACAGGCTTTACTCCATTCACATCATCACGGTCAACTCTACTTTGAGGAGGCAGCTTTTCCCCAGTTACATTTTGAGTGCCTTCCAACCTGAGGGGCTCATATTGTCCTATCAGTGACAGCGTTGCACCTCATGCCTGATCTGGATATGTTCTTTTTGATGATAAATGCAACACCATTCCTCTTCAATTTGTCATTTCCTACATAGTAGACCATGTGGGTGTCAGATTCAAAATGGCTGATACCAGTCCATTTCCGCTCACTAATGCCTAAGATATTGATGTTTATGTTCCATTTCATTTTTGACAACTTCCAATTTTCTCAGATTCATATTTCATACATTCCATGTTCTGATTTTCAATGGATGTTTGCAGCTGTTTCTCTTCATTTTGAATTGTGCCCCATCAGCAGATGAAGGTCCCACAGGCTTTTCTCCCACGAGCTTTACTCCATTCATGTCATCACAGTCAACTCTACTTTGAGGAGGCAGCTCTTCCCCAGTCACATTTTGAGTGCTTTCCATCTTGAGGGGCTCGTTTTCTGGCACTATATTTGACGGTGTTTCTCTGCTATTGATAAGGTTTTCAGTGACTTAATATTTGGAAATAGTCCGTCACTCTTTCTTCCTTGTCTTTCTTTATCTGGAAGCTCATCTGAAACCTGTCCACCATGGGTGACCCTGCTGGTATTTTAAGTACCCATGGCATAGCTTTCAAAATCACAGCAAGTCACAGGCCACCACAGTAAGACAAACTGACAGACGAGTGGTGGCCGTTTGGTCTTAAGTGGAAACTGTCACTTTAAATTTCGAGGAGATCTGTGTGCACATGTCGTAGAACCCTCTATGAGTGGGTGTGGGTGTCCATTCATTCCGGCATACCCTCTAGTCACCAGAATGGAGGTGCGCAGACAGGAGAGAACAATGAACAGATACCAAAAAAAGAATTTTTTATACATTTTAAAGCTTCTAATTCTGTTCATTGATATGTAAAACATAACTATAAGATATTTTATAAGGAGCCCTTGAATGGCAAGATGATTGCGTAATTGGACCTCTAATCAAAGGTTGGTAGTTCAAACCTACCCAGAGGCACCTTGAAAGACAGGCCTTAGGATCTGCTTCTGGAAGTTCATAACCTTGAAAACCTTGTGAAGCAGTTCTCTGCACACTTCCAGAACTGACTAGATAGCAACTAGCAACTTCAAATCAGATGAAATTCAAATTTAGTTTTATATATTTAAATATGTAGTGATCCAGACTTAATATATTTATAGAGTAATATCTAAATAATGAGTTAAACTTTTACAGACAAATTTGCTAATTTGATCAGATTTTCGCTTAAGAATAATATCTTTCATTTGACTTAAATGACACAGGTGATTTTTAAATGATAAAGTTAGACTATTCATAAATATCTTTATTACATTTGAAAGGAGCTTATGTATAGTATCTTAATTTTGAGGATTTAGTTATTCAGACTATGATTTGCCCATACTCATTTAATAACTGTAATTAAGTGCTAACTGATCTTAGAAAAGCAAATATAAGATAACCTTTGTATCCTATTTCCTGAACTTTCTTATTGGTCTTCACAAAGTCAGTTATCTTTAAGTTTTAAAAGCCATTTACAAATACTTGGAGATATGTAAGCTAGGTGTTTGATTAGAAAATTTATTTTCAAATCTTAAGAATTCTTAGTTATCTATTGCTGCTCTAACAAAAATAACACAAGTAGGTGATTTTAACAATCAGACATTTCTTCCCAGTTAGGAGGCTGGAAGTCTGAATTCAAGGCTCTAGTTCTAGAGAAAGACTTCTATGTCTTGAAGGGCCTTGTCTCTCGAAGAGCTCCTATTTCTCGGTTCCTTGGTGATATTCATGTGGTACTGTTGTTATTGTTGTTAAGTCCCATCGAGTCAGTTTCGACCCATAGCAACCATGCATACGGTTTCCGAGAGGAAGCTGGTGAGCTTGAACTGCCGACCTTGCCATTCAAACAGCTTTGCAAGTCTGGTGCATTAACCCATAGCGCCACACCAGGACTCCTGGCATTTATCATATTTTTACCCAAATTAAGCCCATGTTCTACCTGTTTTAAAAAAAAAATTTCCAATCATGTACTTCTTCCCTAGGTATTTTCCTAAGTATGCTATGCTGCTTTTTTGCATGTTGTTATAAAATACAGTTAGTATGTTGTTGTTGTTAAGTGCCATCTAGTCAGTCCTGACTCATAGTGATCCTGTATAGGGTTTCCAAGGAGTAGCTGATGAGTTTGAATCGCCACATTGCGATTCAAACCGACCTTGGGATCCAGTGCATATCCTACAGCACCACACAGTTAGAGTAGCATGCTATAAACTCTCTATCCTTTTCCTTCCTATTCCCTCAAGCTGGCATAAAAAGTAGAGTGTGAAAAGTACAGTATCTTCTCCCATCTCTGTTTGCTTGCGTAATCTGCCTTTTTATATATTAAGAGAGATTAACTGAAACCACATCATACACTACACTGCCTCATTAATGTAAAGAAAAAGTATTCCCAGATGGGATTATAACTGCCAGTAGATAGGTTAGGATTTACAGCACATAATTTAATTCTTATCAAGAACCATCTGTGTTTTGTTTCATGAGGAAATTAAAACTTTAGGGATAGGCTCTAAAGATGATAAATGTATCTTTGGTTTTTCACTTCCTTTTTATAGTGGGAAGTCAATGAAAGAAACTGTTTCACTCGAAGATGGACGAATTGGAGGAAGGCCAGAAATAATTTATCATGTAATTCACACTATTTTATTGGGTTCTCTTGCAATGGTTATAGAAGGGTAAGTGTACTTTATTTGACCTGTATAATTTTACAAAGAGCTATCCTTTTTGAAAAGGAGCTGGGTGATGTAGTGGGTGCACTGAGATGCTAATCTAAAGATCAGTGGCTGGAACCCACCAGCTGTTCCTTCAGAGAAAGATTTAACAGTCTACATCTATAAAGATTGAAAGCCTTGGAAACCCTATGGGGCAGTTCTGCTCTGTTTTATAGGATTACTATGAGTGAGCATCAACTCAATGGCACAGCAACAACAACAATATTGTAAAGACAGTCTGTCTAGGAGTAATGCCTCAGTATATCTGATATGTCTAGAAATATATTGAATTGTTTTTATTGAGTTGTTGTTAAGTGCTGTCAAGTTGGTTCCAACCAGAGCGGCTGGTGACCTTGAACAGTCAACTTTACAAGTTCAAACCACCATTGCAGTCCAGGGCATTGGGTAGCATTGAGGATTTTAGGGTAGGAGTTCAATAAACAATACCTTTTATTCCACTCTAAAATTTGTACTCACATGAAAAATATGACAGTGAAAGATGAAATGACGGTTTTGGTTCTGATAAAATATACATTGGAGAACACATCTTTATATGTCATCAAAAAGGCTTTTAATATCTTTCACTTCAAATTGAGCTTAGTTCCCAAACTGCTGGCCTTCTCTCTTGAAGCAGCAGAGTCTTGGTAAGCTTACAATATGCTGGGTTTGCTCAGTTCTTTTATTAAACTCTCCAATCACATCAGTTTGTTGTTTTTTTTTAAGTTTTAATTGTGAATTATGTGATAGTTTACATGGGAGAACATTAGTTTTACAGTCATTCTATCGTATATCGTTTCATTGCCATGGTTACAATCCCCACCATACATCATCAACCAACCAAAGGGTACACCCTGCAAGCCTGCCCCTCAGTCATCAGCACGCAGTCCCTCTCTCTCTCTGGGTCTAGAGTCCCCAGCCACTCCGTTTCTGCACGTCATCTTCTCTGCCTCCATCTTAGGTATCACTGCTTCTCTGGGTAGGGTCCCACCCTCCACTCTTCTCCCTTAATGGTCCCAGGAACCTCTGCTCCTGGACTGCAAAGTCAACAACTCTCCTCCTTTTGCTACAAAACGCCTACCTTTACATTTCCATCCTTCACAGTCAGTCCTGATAGCAATTATTCACTATTGTACCACAAGAGTCTTATCCCTGTCTCCTTTCATCAGCCTCGTCCAGACAGTTTGGATAGTACTCAGTGGAGATTCTACCTTCCCCTGCACCCTCTGGATTTAGGCTCCCTCTTGATAGCTTGTAAGCCAGTCACTTCTTGCCTTTGTAGCCCTCCCATTTTGGGTAGCCAGTGTCTAAGTTGCCCATTGCTGTCTACCCAGTATTCCAAATCTGTAAAGATTTGTTCTGTCTTTTGAGCTACTGCATCCACAGATATTGGTCAAGTTCATCAAATTGTATCAGATTACTCCTTTTTCCCCCTCTTCTTTTTTCTAGTTGCGTTCTGATCATCCAGCCATTGAAGCCAGGTCAAGTGGGTATTATCTGCAAGTGTGGGTGTTCCTGTGCATCTCCCCTCACTTCTTTTTTTTGAAGTTTTTATTGTGAATTATGTGATAGTTTACATGGGAGAACATTAACTTTACATTCATCCTATCGTATATTGTTTCATTGCCATGATTACAATCCCTCCATGTATCATCAAACAACCAAAGTGTATACCCCACAAGCCTGCCCCTCAATCATCAACGCACAGCTCCTCTCCCTCTGGGTCTAAAGTCCCCAGCCACTCCATCTCTCCACGTCATCTTCTCTGCCTCCATCTCTCTGGCGTCACTGATTCTCTGAGTAGGGTCCTGCACTTCACTCTTCTCTCTTGATTGTCCCAGGGACCTCTGCTCCTGGACTGCAAAGTCCGTCGCTCCCCCTTTTTTTTTTTTTTTTTTTATGTTTTATTGTGAATTATATGATAGTTTACATGGGAGAACATTAGTTTTACATTCATTCTATCGTATATCATTTTATTGCCATGGTTACAATCCCCTCTTTGCATCATCAACCAGCCAAAGGATATACCCTGTAAGCCTGCCCCCTGGTCATCAGCACACAGCCCCTCTCCCTCTCTGGATCTAAAGTCCCCAGCTGCTCCATCTCTCCATGTCATCTTCTCTGTCTCCATCTCTGGTGTCACTGCTTCTCTGGGTAGGGTCCCACACTTTGCTCTTCTTCCTTTATGGTTCCACGGACCTCCGCTCCTAGACTGCAAAGTCAGTCACTCCTCTCTTTTTGCTACAAAACGTCTCCCTTTACATTTCCAACCCTCACAGTCTTGATAACAATTATTATTCACCATTGTACCACAAGGGACCTATCCCATCACCTTTCATTAACCCCGCCCAGACAGATTGGATGCTACTCAGTGGAGATTCTATCTTCCTTCACGCCCTCTGGATCTAATTTTGCCTATATCCTAAAATATCATTTATACACATCACTAGTTTTAAATTTATAGTAGTTATTAGACCTGTACTCTGTTTTAATACAAAACAATATTATGATATAATTTATACTAGTATTTCAGTATAATTTGTTTCCATTATAAGCCCATGTATTTTATGTATTTCAAAATGTTTTCTTGTAAGTAGTCTGTAGACTATCAAACTGCGAAACACAGTACTAGTGGAAATTTCTTAATGATAACATGAAGTGTGAATAGTGTTTCACTCTAATAAACAGCATTCTACCAAGAAGTTATGTGCATAATAACTGATTATGGGATGGAACACTGATATTGTTCCACAAATTCCAGCTGAAACCCAGATTTTTAGAGAAGGAAAGACTGGAAAGGTAAGTCTAGGCCATATTTTAGAAAACCTTACCAACTATCTGGATGAGTTCACAGTTAATTCATTAGGCACTGAGGAACCACTAAAGATTTTTAACAAAATATCTTAGAGTTACAATGAAAAAAACTCATATAGTATTGATGCTTAGATTGAATTAGAGAGGAATCTAAGGCTATAGGTTTTAATTAATATTAATAGGCTGTTGCAGTAAAATGGTTATGGAAGCAAATAGATTTGGTATTAATGAAGTAATCTCTAGGACAGGAGGTTGTGCTCCAGGAGATGTTCTATGCATACAGTTTAAAGTGAATGGTACCCTTTGGATCTATAAACTAGATCCTTGTACTGATTCTGACTGACCAATAGTGTTGATAGTCCCAGAAACAGGAAAATTAGTTGGAGGTTAAGTTGGGAGTTGACTACAAGAAAATAAATGTATTCCTCTCTTTCAACATGTCCTGATGTGGCACTGTAGAATAAGCACTTGAGCATAAAGTCAGTTTGAACTGCAAGGTCAGCGGTTCAAACTCACCAAGTTGCTCCTCAGAAACCCTATACAGAGTCGCTATGAGTTGGAATTGACTCGACAGCACTTAACAACGTTATACATACACTCACTGCTTCTCTCAAGGCTTGATTTTGATCCCAAGTCAGTATTCATTTCTTATAAGCTGTTATTAATCGCATTCTAAAATTGGTGTTTGTGCTTTCAGTAATCACATTCTAAAATTGGTCTTTGTGCTAACAGTAGGTAATTTTTATGACTGTTTCCTAAATGTATAGTTTTAATGATCTTCAGAAAAAGCTCTTTGAGGGTCTGATTTTTTTCCACTCTCTAATACTTATGTCAAGCTGTAGTACATGATTGATAAATGTTTATTAAATGAATTACTTTATTTCATTCTGTAGCTTTGCTGTTTTATAAAACCATAATGTTATTGTTGATAAATGCCATTGAGTCTATTCCAACCCATAGCGACCCTGTATAGGGTTTCCAAGGAGCAGTTGGTGAGCTTGAACCACCAACCTTGCAGTTCAAGGGACTTTGCAGTCTGATGCATTAGCCCACAGCGCCACACCAGGACTCCAAAACCATAATAGTTCACATTTTTTCTGTAACCTCGGATTCTTCTCATCTCTTCAAAGTTTGACACCAAGGAATATATCATTAAACCATCTAGTGGTTCTCTTTCATATCATTCACAGATTTTATCCCCTGAAATGTGATTTTTCCATGATAAATGTTTATGAAGCCCTGCTATCCAAAATTTTCTCAGAACTCTCCCTCTTCCATTTTCAGTTTTTACCTTCTCCTGAGGTAACTGATGCCTTTTGTCTCCTTTACAGCCTAATATGGACAACATATGTTGTCCTTTGTTTGCACAAATTCATTTTTCTGTGTGCCCGAATTTTAAATCTTTTTCATTTAAGTTCCCCAATTTTTTAATCCTAGTTTGCTTGTTTTTTTTAATTATTGTCACATTATAGATTATAACAAACCCAAATAATAAAATAATTTGTATAATACCTTTCTTGTTTGATTTAGAACTATGGTATGTTTTTCACATGACTGGTACATGTACACTGTGCCTGGTGTGTGCTATATATGTGTTTAAAATAAGAAGTAAAAATCCCTTCATCCCACTTTCCAGATACTATTTTTTGCTGTACTATACATATATGTGGCACTATGGGTTAATGACTGCAAAGCCATTTGAACTGCAAGGTTGGTGGTTTAGGCTCACCAGAAGCTCCTTGGAAACCCTATACAGGGTCGCTGTGGATCGGGACCGACTTGATGGCACATAACAACAACAACCTAATAGGAGTTATTTTTTGTGAAGTTTTGAATTAGGCTGTTTTTATTTTTCTTAATAAGTCCCTATTCAAGGACACTTAGCTTGATTTTATGGAGCCCTGGAGATGCAGTAGTTAAAGTGCTTAACAGCTCACAGAAAGGTTGGTGGTCTGAACCCACCAGCTGCTCCTCTGGAAGAAGATGTGGCAGTCAGTTTCTGTAAAAATGTGCAGCCTTGGGAATATGGGGCAATTCCATTCTGTCCTATAGAGTCATTATGAGTTGGAACTGACTTGATTGCAGTGAGTTTGTTTTGGTCTTGCTTAGGTTTTTAATTTTTGCTATTAAAATAGCATGCTGCAATTAAAACCCTTGTGTATATAGCTTTATACATATATGCTAATATTTTTATAGGCTGTATTATTGGAAGTAGGATTACCTGTCATAGAATATTTTAATTTTTATAGGTTTTGCCATGTTGCCTTCTGGAAAAGCTGTAAAATTTTATTTACTTTCTATGAGTATAATTTCACTGCATCCTCATTAATGTTAATGCTTATATTTTATCCTTAGGTGGTAATCCTCATGTTTTCTCATTATTTAAGACCTGAGTAATAATCTTTTACTGAAAATTAGAGGCCAATTTTCTCATTTCTCCTTAGACATGTTAGTGATTTTATGAGTAGAAGAGAATTCACAAAAGAGACAAGATGTCCAAAAGGCTCTGACCTGTGCTTCCTTTTATTTGTTTTTTTCAGCTTAAAATACCTCTGGACTCCTTATGTGTGTATGTTAGCAGCATTTGGTGTTTGTTCTCCTGAACTTTGGATCACCCTTTTCAAGTGGCTTCGACTAAGAACTGTACATCCAATATTGTTGGTGAGTCATGATTATTTTGTGTTAGGTTCTTGTTTCTTCTCAAGGTAAACAAAAATAAATGCTAATAAATAGAAACCACATTGAATACAATTTCTAATTATAAAAGTAATGTTTTCCATTTTCATTAAAAAGTAAAATACAAAAATTCAAATTAATAATGTGGGAGGCCACCAAGGATTAATTTTTATGTCTTCCTTGGCCTTATTTAGAACTGTGGTATGTTTTCCACATGAAACATAGAATATAAAGATAAATGCTTGAAATACAAAGATAAAGAAAATATAATTTTATCCAGTTGATAACAGTCTGGCATAAAACGAGTCCTGTGGGTTAATGCACCAGACTGCAAAGCCGTTTGAACTGCAGGGTTGGCAATTCGAGCTCACCAGCTGCTCCTGCAAAACCCTATACAGGGTCGCTATGGATCAGAACCGACTTGACGGCACTTAACCACAACAAGTTATAAAACAAATAATAAATATTTATAGAATGCTATTGGAACTTTGTTGTGAAGGCTGTCGAGCCGGTTCCGCCCCATAGCGACCCTGTATAGGGTTTCCGAGAAGCAGCTGGTGAGCTCGAACTGCCAACTCTGCAGTTCAAACGGCTTTGCAGTCTGGCACATTAACCCACAGTGCCACACCAGGACTCTATAGAAGAGAGCTATTTAATAGAATTATTTTTAGGGATTTAGAGAAGACTTTTCAGTCTGAGATTTGAAAGATGATTTAATAGTCAAATGAAGGGAGAAACAACGATGTCCATGATAGTAGGAATCAATGCAGGGGTAAGCAAAGAGCATGGTATAATCAAAGGGACTGAAAACAGAAGCAAGGAAGAGCATTATATATTTAGTTTGAGTGGCAAATCAAGCTTAAGGGCAGGGATAGTTAAAAAATGCTACTGCACATCACATATAGAGATATGATGGTCAGGTCATGGGACCTTTGGATGTCATGCTAAAGAACTTAGATTTCTCCAAAAGGTGAGATGAATGTACATTTTCTATTACATTACTTTCTCACTGCTGTGAATGATAGGCCTAAGGGTGAAAACCAGAGCCAAGGAAAAGATTATCATTGACAAGGGACAAGTCATGGTGGATGAAGGTAACAAAAGTTTCAATTTGTTGTGTGTCAAGTTCAATGATTACAATGAACCTGTTAGCTTGGTTTGATTATTTCCATTTTGTAGATAAGGAAACTAAGGTTTAAAATGATTAAATAACTTTCCTGAGAGTACTTATACCTTATCAGTTTGGAAACTGTGATTCACATCCCAGTTTTTTGTACTCTGAAGTCTATTTGATTACACTTAACAACATCATACTGGAGTTTAAGAAAGGTTAGAAAAGAAGATTCATATTACTTGGTGTTTGATTAAATATAGGGAAATGAGGAAGAGGAATAAACCATGATGTCTCCTAGGTTTCTTTGTAAATCAGGTGGGTCACAAACTTATAGAGACAATAGGAAGAACAGTTTTATCTGGAATTTGATGAGTTAACAGTAACATTGATGTGATGTATTGTGCCAATCCTATTCCCAGAAGAATTAATGCTTTCTTAGCTAAACATATTAGTATGTAGCTACTAATCATTAGCTATTTTCTCTATATTAGTTCACTGTTTTTTTTTTTTGTTGGTTTTTAGGTAACAGTTTAGTATCCTTTATGAACTACTAATGACTTATATTTCTGGTAAATTGTCACATACTGATTCCCTGTTTAAGAGTATTGCTTTTTTTATGTTATGCCTTAAATTCATAGACCAGTAGATATATGTCTCACTTTACCTCCAGTGTAATATGTTTGAAGCTCATTAATCTTTACCCATCTCACTCCAGGAATTAGGTTCCATGATGACTTTTCAATTTCTCTGACTGAAATGATCGTAATTATAAGGATATGTAAGTTATTTGTGACTAGCAATAAAGTCATTGTGTAGTATCTCAAAGTTGCATTCTGAAATATTTTTCCATAACTCTTTGCTTTTATATTTTAGGCTCTTATTCTGAGCATGGCTGTGCCTACTATAATAGGTTTCAGCTTATGGAAGGAGGTAAGAAAATAAATTTTCTGCATTATTGAAATTTACTTTATTTCTCAGGTAGTAATGAATTTCCGTAGTGGTTACGAATCGGGCTGCGAACCTTAAGGTCAGCAGTTCGAAACTACCAGCTGCTCCGCGGGAGAAAGATGAGGCTTTCTACTCCCGTAAAGATTTACACCCTCGGAAACCCTGTACAGGGTTGCTATGGGTCGGAACCGGCTCGATGGCACTTAACAACAACAACAACAACAATGAATTTATTAAGGAGCTCTGGTAGCGTAGTGATTACAAATTGGGCTGCGAACCTTAAGGTCAGCAGTTCGAAGCTACCAGCTGTTCTGCAGGAGAAAGATGAGGCTTTCTGCTCCCGTGAAGATTTACAGCCTTGGAAACCCTGTACAGGGTCACTATGAGATGGAACCAACTCCACGGCACATAACAACAACAACAATAAATTTATTCACTATAAATTTCTATTTAGAAGCTGTTCTAACAATAAGTTATTGATGTTACTATACTATTTCATAGTAATATTCTGTTATATGGAGTCCTGGTATACTGCTGTGGGGGTTAATGTGCTGGACTGCAAAGTCAGTTTGAACTGCAAGATTGGCGGTTCAAGCTCAACAGCTGCTCCTCGGAAATCTTATACAGGGTCACTGTAGGTCAGAACCATCAACTCAACTGTACTTAATAACAGCATTCTATTGTATAAGTGTTATTGTTAAGTATATGAATCAGTATAATGTTACTAATGTTCTTGGAGTCCTGGTGTGGTGCTGTGGGCTAGCGTGTCAGATTGCAAAGTCTTTTGAACTGCAAGGTCAGTAGTTCAAGCTCACCAGCTGCTCCTTGTAAAGCCTACACAGGGTCGCTGTGGGTCGGAATCAATTCAATGGCACTTAACAACAACAACAGCAGTGTTCTTGGAACTCTGGTGTGGCACTGTAGAACAGAAACTGTACTGCTAACTGCAAGGTCAGTGGTCCAGACTCACCAGGTGCTTCTTGGAAACCCTATACTAAGAGGCTTAAAGTCAGAACCAACTCAACAGCACTTACCGACAACAATATTATTCATAATGCTTAATGTTTCTATTAATTCAGTTTACTGTTTGTAAAATGTTGAATAGGGTGGTGGTTATGTGCCGTGGAGTTGCTTCCAACTCATAGTGACCTTATACAGGATTTCCGAGGCTGTAAATCTTCACAGGAGCAGAAAGCCTAATCTTTTTCCCACAGAACAGCTGGTAGTTTCGAACTGCTGACCTTGAGGTTAGCAGCCCAGTTCGTAACCACTACACTACCAGAGTTCCTTGTTAAATAGGTAGTCTTAATATTAAAAAATATTTTGTATCTCCAAAATTTTAATGTCTATAAAATGGCATACACTCTTTGGCCTATCATAATATTATATGAAACTAATTAATAGTAAACTTGCATAGCCTTTGAACTCATTTTTTTTTTTTTTTTAATGTATGTGTCTACATGAAAGATAAAGCTAATGATTACTTGTTTGGTAATGATATACTCAGTGAATCTAGGCAATTAATTAACAATAAGATGATTTGGGTTGAGCAGGATGAGCAGGTCACTGAAAGAATATAGTGAGACCAATATTTTATCCCATGAGAAATTGTAATACCATAGGCCTTAAGTTAATCCTAGTCTTTTGAAATACCTTGAGCCATTTTAAACTTTTCTAGTTACTTATGCACATCTTTTGGGAATTTTGTTTTGCATTTTAGTTTTTTCCACGATTAATGACAGAATTATCGGAACTACAGGAATTCTATGACCCAGATACAGTGGAACTTATGACCTGGATAAAGTAAGAACTGAACTGCCCAAGACTATTTGTTAAGCTACTACTAGTCAGTCATTATATACTACCTAATAGACTCAGAGGAAATAATAAATTTTTTGTCTTCTCATAAAAAAATAGGAATTTTGCTCTGTGTTTTTAGGAACATGTACTTTATTGGAACTTTGTCATTCTAATTTTCTAGTTAAATTCATATCAGTGGTCTTGACAGTATAACATTGAGAAGCTCAGGATTTTAGATTACCGTTTCTGGTAGTATGGCAGATTAGACAACCCGAAAACCTATTCACTGTCAGATACCTGGACAAGAAAAAATACTTCTTTTATTTAGATAGTCAAGAAGATGCTACCTTTTCCTAATGTGCAGGTGGTTAGAGGGTGATCCTAATCTTCTTAACCAAGGAATTTGTATTTTAATGTGCACAGAAGATATGACCTTCAGCCTGTGGAAGCAGAGAGTGGCGATTGAGACATGTCCTACAACCTACACATATTGTTTTTTTAAAAAAGAAAAAAAATCTAAGCCCCCTGCCATAAAAGCCGTTTTGACACATAGCAAACTTAAGAAAGAGTAGAGCTGTCCCACTGGGTTTCCAAGGCTGTAAATCTTTACAGAAGCAGACTGCCAACATCTTTCTCCTTCTGAGTAGTTGATGAGTTTGAACTGCCAGCCATCCTGTGAGCTGCCAAGTGCTTAATCATTGTGCCTCCAGGACTCATACATAACTCAGGAACTTACATACAAAGTTATACTATCAGTGAAAAATATTCACGAAGTGGTAGAGAAATATGACAAGAAAACATATCTTTATGGGCCACAGCTATTGCTTTAAAAAAAAAAGATCTGAATCTGAAGCAATGGACCTGAATTTACATGGGTTTCAGGTTTGAATTATGCTTGTTTAATCCAGGAAACCCCAAATCAAGAAATTACCATCAAAATAAAAATTGGTCCTGGTGCCTGTAACACTCTCGACATTGTCTTTATTTCATTCTAAAATATTGCCCTTGAATTAATTTTGTGACTGTAGACATACAAAGTCTTGACATTTCAGCATTGTATTACCATTATGGAGCACTGAATATACAGCTTTGTGTTGTTGGTAACAACAAAAGATGTTTTATCTGTCTATGTGATATACCATAATATAGTTTTAAAAACATAGCAAAGGCCTGAGTTATCATATATTGGACATTTGAACTTTTATGTTACTGTAAAGTAATTATTCTGTTTCATGTCTGTTTTCCCACTATACTTGATGTTCATTAAGGACAATGGCTGTATGCTGTCACCTCCATATTTCCATTGCCTGGCTCTATGCCAGCAGTTCCATGGGAGAAAGATAAGACTTTCTGCTCCCATAAAGATTTACAGCCTCGGAAACCCTATGCAGGGTTGCTGTGAGTCAGAACTGACTCCACGGCACATAACCACCACCACCATGCATAGCATGTAATAAGGTGACACTGAATGCTGTACCCAGGGAGTAAGTGTTTAAGTTGGAAGCATTAAAGCAGCTCTTTGAGACTAGGTTTTCTAGCTTTGTAAGTGGCATCCACTTAGAACTATGGATCATGTATCAGAGTTCAAAAGTCTTACATGAATTATCTGGATATGAACACATGGATGAAAATAGGGAAGAAGCAGGGAATAGATACATGTGGAAGCAGTTGGCTTATAGTAGTTATTTATTTTTTTTTTTTTAATGAATTTTAGAATTTACTGTGTCACCATTGATCTAGCCATTCTATCAAGAATGCTATCTTCCTGTGTTCCTCTCTCTATCCCCTTACCCTGCATTATTTTTTAGTAGTATTATCACCACCTGACATATGACTATGCGTGTTTATAATCCCACCATGCTGCCTCTTGAAAGCAGGGATCTTGCCTTTTTTCCTTCTTTGAATTGCTCTATCTCTAGTACTGGAAACAGTACTTAGCATATAGATGTTCAGTTTTTGGAATGAGTCTATAAATGAATGAAAACTCACATTGAAATTGAAGTCTACAATACACTGCAGGTAGTCTAGTATTTGAGAGTTGGTATAAATCGTGAATCTAAAGAATGTACTTGTTTTTTCCATGTATGCATTTTTATGATTCTTTGCAGAAGGCAAGCTCCAGTCGCAGCTGTGTTTGCAGGGAGCCCCCAGTTAATGGGTGCGATTAAATTATGCACTGGATGGATGGTGACAAGCTTGCCTCTTTACAATGATGATGATCTTCTCAAAAGGAATGAAAATGTAAGTCATTTCCAGTTCTACATTTGGATTTTTTTCCCCCAGCATTCTACAATTTAGCATACTCCTATAGTGATGAAACACTGTGATTTATTTTTAGGTATATAGGGTTTACTCGGAACAGCTGCTGGGTTTGAACTCCTGATCTTGTCGTTCAAACTGACCTTGTGGTTCAGGAGCTTGTCCTACAGCATAGCACCAGGACTTATTATTTTTAGATATGTTGTTGTTGTTAAGTGCCAATGAGTTGGTTTCAACTCACAGTGACCCTGTATAGGGTTTCTGAGAAGCAGCTGGTGAGTTTCAACTGCTAACCTTGTGGTTTACAGTTCGGTGCTTATCCTACGGTGCCACACCAGGAGTCCTATTTTTAAGTATGGTTGGTTGTTATGTGCCATGGAGTCGGTTCAAACTCATAGCGACACAGCCTGTATAGAGTTTCCGAGGCTGTAAATCTTTACAGGAGCAGAAAACCTCATCTTTCTCCCGCCGAATAGCTGGTAGTTTCAATTAGTTGACTGTGAGATTAGCAGCCCAATTCGTAACCACTTAGCAACAGAGCACCTATTTTTAGGTATTGGTTGTTGTTGTTGTTGTTAGGTGCCATGGAGTCGGTTCTAACTCATACTGACCCTGTACAGGGTTTCTGAGGCTGTAAATCTTTATGGGAGCAGAAAGCCTCATTGTTCTCCCACAGAACAGTTGCTAGTTTCACTGCTGACCCTGAGATTAGCAGTCCGATTCGTAACCACTGCGCTGCCAGAGCTCCTTATTTTTAGGTATAGGCTATCATTAATAACATACTATAGTATTAGACTATCTAATGGTATTTAGTTGATTTATTTTTTTATTGTGGTGGAAATATGCATAATAAAACATAGGCAATTTTTGCCTATATAGTTCAGTGACATTGATTATATTCTTTAAGTTGTGCAACCATTATTGCTATTCTTTTCCACATTAGTCTACCACCGTTAACTCAAACTCAGTGTCCCTAAGCAAGAACTCCTTCTTTCCCTTTCCTCCTATCCTCAAAGAAAAGGGCTCAAACTTAACAACCAGTATGAGGATAGCATATGACCCAGGCATTACTTCCTTCTGTTGTACATAAGGTCACTATGCGGCAGAACCAACTTGATGGCGCCTAACACAATAACCTGTCCCTCGAAATCACTAGTAATATTTGGTTTTAATGTATTTGCTTATTCCATATAAGTGAGATCATGTAATTCCTGTTTTTTGGTGTGTGTGAGTGACTTACATTACTCAGCATGTTTTAAAGATTGATTTCTATTATAGTATGCGTTGGGACTCCATTTCTCCTTATGGCTGAGTAGTATTCTGTTGTGTATATATATATATATATATACCACATTTTCTTTATATATTCAGACATTGTAATTGTTTCCTCCTTTTGTATATTGTGAAAATTGATATATAGCTTTCTGTTTATGTTGTTAACTTCATTTCTTCTGGATGTACACCTAGGATTAGAATTGAAGGGCCATATGGTCATTCTGAGCCCTAGTATGGCACTGAAGGCTAAGCACTGGACTGGTAACCTCAAGATGGACAGTTCAAACTCACCAACCACTCTCATAAACTTTATACAGGGTTGCTATGAGTTGGAACCTAATCAGCAACACATAACAACAACAGTGGTACTTCAGTGCTTGACTTTTTGAGGAGCTACCAGTTTTCTGTACAGTGACTGTACCAATTTACATCCAAACCAGCAATAGATGAGGGTTAATATATTTTTTGTAATTTATATTCTGCTGTTTAGAAGTATCTCAATATTTTATGTTCAGAGAATACATTTTAAATGTTGGATTTAAATGATAACTTCATATTCGAAAGCAGTGACAAGCTAAATATTTAATCTGTTTATTTAGAATGTGAGTTATATTTTTCAACTTGATAGAATTTTATACAGTTTTAAAATGTTATTTCAAGCCAAGTAGGAAGCTGCCCTGGCGTTGTGACCTTGAACAGGACTGTGTAAATAGTAATAGTTCTTACCTCCTAGTTGTAAGAATTAAATTGAGATAATGTACCATACCTGAAACATGTTGTCATTGTTCCTAGTGCCGTTGAGTCGATTTTGACTCATAGTGACCTATACAGGATCGTTCCAAGGAGCAGCTGGTGGGATTGAACCACAACCTGTGGGTTAGTCCACTGCTTATCCTACAATGCCACACCAGGACTGAAACACAATAACATTTAAATGCTAGTGCTATAGGCTAATGCACTGGATCGCTAGGTCCGTTTGAACTGCAAAGTCAGTGGTGCAAATTCACCAGCCGCGCCTTGGAAACTCCTCAGAAATATGGGGTTGCTGTAAGTCAGAACCAACTGGACAGCACTCAACAACAAAAATTATTTGTTGTTTTTTTGTTAACTGCTGTTGAGTCAATTCCAACTCATAGTGACCCTGCATAGGGTTTCCAAAGCTTTTAAAATCTTTGTGGGAGCATAAAGCCTCATCTTTCTCCAGTGGAGCATTTGAAGGCCACAAACTGTGAATTTCATGGTTTGCAGTCCAGTGCTTATTGTGCGGTGTAGCACTATGCACCCTATTTTTGTTATTATTATATGTTATTAAATTGCAGTTGTAGTCACACACATGCAGACACACTAAGTTCAAAGCAATATTCAAAAGCAGGACCAATCAATTCTGCCTTAAAAAAGACAGCATTATACCTGAGTAGAATTCTGTAGAACACACTAAGAAGTCCATCTGTTATGTGTTTCTCCCATTAGACTGTCAGTGATCACTGTTATTAAGTACCATCAAGTCACTTCCAACTCATAGTGAACCTGTAGTGTTTCCAAGGACTGGCGTGGCGAGTTTGAGCTGCTGACCTTACTGACCTTAGCAGTGCTTATCCTGTATCACACCAGGACTCCATCAGTGGTCATTGGTGCTAGTGGGGATGGGGATGTGCTGGGAGTCGGCTCCGACTCACAGCGTTCTGAATAGATTTCCAAAGCTAGAAATCTTTACAGAAACGGTAAGGCTCATCTTTCTTCTGCAGAACAGCTGGTAGTTTCGAACTGCTGACCTTGAGGTTAACTGCCTAACTCATAACCACTACACTACCAGAGGTTTACTTAAAGTATTTCCCATTAATTTTGCATACTACAGTGAAATTTTAAAAATATTATAATTGTGAAAATATATGTCTGCATTAGTTTTTATGCTTTTCCTTCAGCCCAAGTAGATTGGTATTTTTTTCCTCAGAAAATTAGATAGTTCTTAAGTTTCTATAGAACATATAAAAGACAGCCTTGAAAATTTTTAATGTACCTTATGTAAATAAACTTGAAAATTTGATTTCTGAACAAATGTGATCTTCATTTTGAATTCTTCTGTAATATACTTTTTATTTATTTAAAGATTGTAAATTTTCAAAAAGAAGAAAACTCACTCATTATGCCAGTGTTTCCCCCCACCACTTGAAATTTAAAGATGTCTAAGTGTTCAGCTGCTAACCAAAATGTTGGCAGTTCAAACATACCCAGCAACTCCATGGAAGAAAGACCGAGCAGTCTGCACTTATGAAGACTGCAGCTTAGAAAAGCCCATGATGCAATTCTGCTCTGACACATGGGGGCACTGTGAGTTAAAATCAATTCATCACCAAGGAAGGAAAATACTATGTTCCTTTCTAGTCTATATCTATATTCATTGCATGTTTTTATATGGCTGTTATATACAACACAGTTTAGAATTTAATTGTGTACCATATTATATTTGCTAATTTTTAAATATTTAATCTCAATATCACTATGACATAATAATACCCTTCCTAAGAACAGGAGTCAAGTCTTGGTGAATGAATCTCTTTAGTACCTAGCACTAAGAAAATAGCAGATGCTCTTTTGCAATTATCTTTTTTATTATATCCATTCAGATTTATCAAATCTATTCAAAGCGATCTGCTGAGGATATTTATAAAATACTTACATCATACAAAGCTAATTACTTAATTGTAGAGGATGCTATCTGCAATGAAGTGGGAACACTGAGAGGCTGTAGAGTTAAAGATTTATTAGACATCGCAAATGGACATGTAAGTAATCATCTGGAAATTTAAGCCGTTTTTTTCCTTTTGAGAAAAATAACTATATGAATATAATCTTAAAACTATTTTGGGAATTTAAGAATATAAATTTAAGTTATAAAATAATGGAGAAAGTTTATCAAAACTGATTTTTAACATACAAAGAAAAGTTGGACATTTTTGCCAAAAAAAAAAAAAAATCTCCACATTTATATGGAAAAAAATGATATAACTTGATCTAAATGACAATTACATTTTTATTCACTTTCATAATCTAGAAATCAGTTGATGGTATTGTTTTATATCCTTATATTGAGAATTTTATTATAGTTACATCTAGAAAAATTGCTTACCTGAATTAGCATACTGCCTCTACACTCTTTATTATTACAAAAATTAGTGCATTAAGAGCCATTTTAGTTTTTAAGACTTAGCTGGATCTTAATTTCTACACTCAATTTTAGCTATTTTATATAACTATCATACTTCTCAGCCAGCAGTGTTTATACTGTGTGTCTGACAAGAAAGAAACTTTACAGGGCATTTGTGTGCCCTAGAATGGATGCCTTGACTCCTAGCAAAGTTTGGGGTGGGAAAGCTTAGTAAAAGCTTAATAGGTCAGTCTGAGTTGGGCTGTCTATTTAAACTCTTGAGCATAAATATCAAGAGTAATGAAAACTTACTTGCTTACTAGATAATGAGTCAGTTGTATACAAGAAGAGTTTGACTATACATTAGAAATTTAATATGTCCTTTTCCTCAGCCATGGTAAGCTGCAGAACAAGGGTCTCAGAGGAATGATAGTGGACTCCAGAGACATTGCTTTCTAAATTTTAGTATTAAAAATTGGAAAGACTTTACTTTGATTTGTCGATCTTAGTGGGAAGCTCAAGAGTTTAAATGGACACGGTGACTCTTATGAATAGGCTTCTGTTTACTAAACCATGAAATGTATCATGGTCATATTTAGCAATAATATTTTTTATATAAATATAGTCACTTATGCATTGATTCCATTCCTCCTATAGTCTTAATAAGCTTTTTAATAGTATATTTCATATCTTTTAATAGGTGGTTTGTGAAGAAGGTGACAAGTTGACGTACTCAAAATACGGGCGATTTTGTCATGAGGTCAAAATTAACTATTCTCCGTATGTGAATTATTTCACTAGAGTGTACTGGAACAGATCCTACTTTGTCTATAAAATCAACACTGTGATATCCTTCCAATCTTGAAAAGCAGAACCTTAATTTCAAAGACTAATACTATATGAAGTAAAATGTGATTTTCTTCTACTTAAACACAGTTCTTTTGCAGATCAGAGAATAGACATTGGAAAGGTTATGGCTGCCTTCTCCTATTGCTGTTAACTGGATCCAGAGTTCTGTGGGAAATAAAAGATCAAATATGCTGTTGTTTGATAAAATCTCAAGTCTACCACCCTGCAATATTCTAGCCAAATGTCTTCCTTACTGTCACATCATCTTTAAAGGTTTAACTTCTAAAACTTTGTGATTTTTCCCCATCACACTTTATTCTATAATATAGATCTTGAATTTCAGTATGTTTAAGGTCAAAGCATATACCTCAAACATTGTATTTAATAAATGCTTAATGCAATATAATTATATGATAGAAGGAAAGAATTATTCTTACCCTCACACTAATATTTTAAGGATATACATAAAGATATATCCAGTATTCAAAACATTCAGAAGTTTTCTTGATACTTTTCATCTGCTGCTTACATAAGTGAGCATTTTCACAGTAATACATAATGCATGATACTGTGTCCTGTTATTTTGTGACTGTCTGTTAAGTAGTTAGCTTTTTACACTACACCCATATATTTGATACCAGTTAAATCATGATAAAACAGTAACTCTTTATGCCTGTATGTCTTTAAAAATAGATAATTAAAAAAGAATGTTCAGGTTTTTAGAAAAATATGGATATGGAATATATGGTCCACTCACTTGCTTTCTACTTTACTATTAAGTAAAACAGTTAAATATTTACTAAAATAGGATTTATTGTTGTTGTTAAGTGCTGTCGAGTCAGTTCTGACACATAGCGACTTCATATAGGGTATCCAAGGAGTGACTGGTGAGCTTGAGCCACCAACCTTGTGGTTCAAACTGACTTAGCAGTCCAGCACATTAATCCAAGGCACCACACCAGGATTGAGCAACAATATCTGGAGATATGTGCAAATGGTGTAAGCATATCTCTGTATACTGATATCTTTTTATAAAATATAAGTCCTGTTACTAATGAAACTGTGATGCAGTCTTCAATATTAAGAATAAGATGACCATTATAATAAAATTCACAACATGGTTTCAAAATCTATTATATTCCTTTAAGTATTTTTATACTTTTAGTCATCTATTTTAAAATCTAAAATAATTTGGCATTCAGGATGGATATAGCCTGTAGATATGTATCGTATTAGTAAGATGGGATGCATGCTTAGCTTCACCAAATGTACCTGTTCACTAACAGGTTTTCAAGTTTTTAAATTGTTAATGCGCTAAAAAATTACATTTTTAGTACTCTAAATTACTACATTAGAAGGGGGCATCCTTCTATTATCTTTATTTTCTGGTATATATACATATATATGTGTACACATATATATTTGAAAGTATAAAAAGCACTCACATTCTTAGACTAGCTCTAATATGCTCTGCTCTTTTGGAGCTTAAGAATGGATGGCAATGTCATGTATCTGGTACAGTAGTTCCATTGGTTCTCATTTCATGCTGTTATGTAATTTTTAAACTATATTAAGATAGCTGCAGACAGTGTCCTTCAGGCTGCCTCTGTCCATCTTAATAGTGAGTCATAGTATTTAGCTTCAGAAATTGTGACAGTGTTACCATAGCAGTCTTAGTACACAGTAAATAATCACATGTATTACTTGTGATTAGGAAGTATAAACCAATGTAATTTAAAAGGCAGCTTGCTTATTTTTTGTTACATTACTTTGTAACATGAAATGTTATATTGAATTTTTATTTATGTTATCAGATACGCTGAATTAGTTTTAGAATAGTTCTTTTACATATTAGTAAGTTGCTTTTGCTTCTGTCAACTTATTTCTTAAATTTGGAGAAAATTTTAATTCAGATTTTTGCATAATGAATTTGTCATTCAACATCAATTAAAAAGGAGAATATGAAGTTTACTATAGAAATAATGTTATTGGATATTAAAAATAAGCATATTTACTTCTATTTTAACTATAGTTAAAACAATTAAGTGCCGATGAGTCAGTTCCAACTCATAGTGACCCTGTATATGGTTTCTAAGGAGTAGCTGGTGGGTTTGAACCACTAACCATTTATTAGAAGTTAAAACAATAGCATTAGAAAACTTTTCACTGTAGTGCATTTAATTTCCTTATTTGTAGAGTATCAAATGATTAAGAATTCTATAAGCAATTCTACTTGGATAAGTTACAGTGGTTAAGTTTAACATAATAGCTTTACTCTGAATGGAGCAAAGTTTATAGCTTTTGAGTGAAAGGAATTTCTCAAAGACGTACAAAGCATATTTTGTCCTTATTGTTATAAACACATTGAAATAAGTGCCTTAATTTCTTTATTTCTAGATTTACGTATTTTTTTCAAAAGATATTATCTATTTCTTCCCACTTTTTCTTTTCCATATGAAAAATTGAGTAACTTTTCCCTCATCAGTGAGCATAGAGTCCTCTATGCTTTTTTCATTATTCAATTTAGTATTAGCCAGATTCTTGTTAAGTTGTACAGATAACATTTCTAGCTTTCTTCATTAAATTGTTTAGCTTACCAAATGCCAGAACTAACAAGTCATCAAATAAAACTTACTTGTTAAGGAATGCAAATGCTGACTCTCTGCTGGTATATATGTTTTCCAACTTTGGCATCTGTATCTTGTTAGACTAGTAGAACCAATTTAAAAGTCTAAGGCGTATTCATGGGACTTCAGCATTACCTTTTTTGTCATTCTGTGTATATAGAAGATACTCGTTTTCAGGACATCAAACCAAATCACCAGTTGCATCAATGTTGTGGCACTCTGTTGTGTACAACGCAGATTGGTTAGAGGAAAAGCAGATGTGAAAGTCAGAGTGTTTTATAAATTGGAGCTGGAAAGTATGTTTTATTAAAAAAAATAAATGATTAGTTTCTAAAAGAACACTGTGAGTAACCATCATATTATCCGTAGCATCTAAGCAGTAATTGGAGTAGGCATTCAATTAATATGTGTGTAATTAAATTGAAAAAGTATTATAGAAAGTATAAGATAATTAAAATAACATGACTGGATTTTCAAAATAAAATTGAAAATAGAATATTCTTGTTTTATTGGCTTTTAAGAAATCAGTTGTTTGATGCTCTTTTATTTTTGAACTGTTAGCATATTTTTATGCCTTTTGTGGATAAAAGTTGTGCCTCTGTAAAATTGTTGGGGTATGTGAAAGTTGTATATAAGTCACTTTTTGGTAAATTCCTTTTAAATATACAAATATTTAAATGGCATATGTTATGAATTCTATATAATTAAGAACTGCATATAAAGCAATTAATTCCTGATTTACATCTCAGTATACTATTTGTCCATTTTTTAAAAGTCTGTTGTTGCTAATTGTTAGTAGTTTTTGATCCCATATGTATTAGAGTTACAGCTCTGAAAATGCAAGTAGAAATGAGCAGTTTCTAACTGAAATAATACCTCATTGTTAAGTTTTCAATAACACTCTAAATAAAATAAGATGTGACAGTTCTCAAGTAATGTATTTGACTGACTCAACTATTTTCTGACCATTAAGGTTATTAAATATTATGTTGTTAGGTGCAGTCAAGTTGGTTCCGACTCATAGTGACCCTATATATAGGGTTTCCAAGGAGCAGCTGGTGGGTTTGAACTGCTGGCATTTTAGTATACTTAATTGTTTTTCATGAAATGGGCATGTTGGAACCAAATATGCTAAATTTAACATGAAAGCATTTTTTTCATCCTGTTGATGAGTCTCTTGGAACTTACAGCATTTTAATCTTGGCACTTATAATCCTATATGCAATTCTGTAACAGACACACTTGTAAATGTTGTGTGCCAGTCCGTCAATTCTGATTCATATCAATCCTATAAGACAGAATAGAACTGCTTCCTAGGTTGCAATTTTTTAATCTCACGAAGTTGCTTTTTCTGTGGAGTTGTTGGTGAGCTTTAAATTTTGGCTTTTTTTCAGCACCTTTTCAGTTAGCAGATTGACTATTTAATCTTTGCACAACAGGCTTCCTTAGCACATGATTACTATATGGAATAATAGTATCAAAAGAAACTTGCATTCCTAATTTATTGTTTGAAATACCTTATGAACAGCCTTTCATAATTTAATACATTTGTACAGCCTGTTTATTTAACAAAGAAGAAAATATTACGCTTACGTATGCTAGCTTCTGAGTCTTAAGACAATATGTATTTAGAGTAAATGTGTTCCTTCTATAACTAAGGTCCTATCTTTGCAAAGGGATAAAGGTTATTTTCAATAAATATAAATCCTTTAAAGGAATTGGGTTATAGACTAGTTTACTTCAGATTTTGTAACACTAAACATATATTTATTAAAAATGGAATTCCTTGTTTCATACTTAATTATTCTCCTTGTTTTGATTCCATAACAAAACTCTTTTTAGGATTTTAAGTTACCTTTTATTTATGTAACAGGTTTTCATGTGTGTTTTTTTGTTTTTGTTTTTTTTTAATTTCTACAGTTTTATTGACATATAATTGATATACCATTACAATTCATTCATTTAAAGTATACAGTTCAGTGGCTTTTAGTATATTAACAGAGCTAAGCAACCAATCAGCACAATACAGTTTAGGCCATTTTCATCATCCCATGAAGAAAATCCATGCCCTTTAACTGTCATCTCCAAACATATTCTGAGCCCTAGACAACCACTAACTAAACTACTTTCTATCTCTATATTTGAGTGTTCTGGAGCTCTCACATAAATGGAATCATACAATATGTGTTTTTTTTGTGACTGACTTATTTAGCATAGTCTTCTAAAGGATCCTCCATGTTGTTGCATGCATCATTCTTTTAAATATTTTTTTACTGAACTCTTCCATTAATTCCACAATTTTTAAATGCTTTCTACATAAACCTTTGGGTTATTTCCACTTTTGAGCTCTTATAAGAAATACTGCTATAAACAAAACTCAAAAATATTTAATAATAATAAGACTGTGTTTACTGGTCAGAAGAGACTGGAAGAACCTGAGATGATGACCTTCTAGTCCTGGTGTGGTAGTGTGGGTTAATGTACCAGACTGCAAAGCCGTTTGAACTGCAAGGTTGGTGGTGCAAATTCACCAGCTGCTCCTCGGAAACCTTATACAGGGTCGCTATGGGTCAGAACCAACTCGGTGGCACTTAACAACAACAACTACCCTTCAGGTCTGGAAAGGAACTCACCCTCTTGGTCCAGTTTTCAGCCAAGCAGTAGATAGATATATAGTGGGGCACAGCAATACGAATGAGGTGTGTTCGTCTTGGAATGGGCATTCAAAATCAAAAGGACAACATATGCCTAACACAAAGTTAAAAACAGATAAGGTGGAGGGAATGCAAATAGGAACCACAGGGAGGAAGCAGGAGAACTGTTGTTGCATG